CCGCCCTCCGCCTGGCGTGGGAGGCCCCTCGCTGTCCCGCTGCAGAGGGGACAGGCGGCATTTCCCAGCCAGACCCGATGGGCAGTGCCCTGTTCCTCTTGGGAAGGCAAGGACGTCTGGAGGGTCTGCCGCGCGCGGGCAGGGCTGCAGCTGCCCTCGGACGCTTCCCGTTGCTTTTCCCGGCAGGAGGCTGAAGCTCAGGGTTAAATACAATGAAGGGGTTTCTTGGTTGTATTCTAAAATTGTGTAAAACCCGCGAGGATGAGGGACGGACTGCTGCAGCTGTGGGTGCCCCGAAGTCAGGCTGAGCGCTGTTAAAATCGCCCCTCTCGGTCCCAGGGCCAGAGGCTGAGTCACTGTCAGACTGTGATGGCATGTCAGAGTCGGAGACATTGACACATAAAGGCGGATATTTTCCTAACGTGCAGGAAAAAATAAAGGAACCTCGAAGTGCAGGTGTCATATTGAAGTCGGGGCTGCAAGACTGAAAATGCTCTGCCTGTTTGATTTTTGTCTGAGGCTTCTCCCTGTGGTAAGGCAAGACAGGTGAGATTTTCTCAAGGCACCTTTGACCGCCAAAATCAGAGTCACTGGGTTGAGTAAATTATTGTATCAGAATAATCAAAGAGAAGAGATGATTAGCTGAGCAAACAGCTTGTTTGTGGAGAGCTGAGAGGAGACTGCATGGCACGGTGCTGCCGCCCTTCCATGCACGTTTGCTCAGCTGCCTTCCTTCCAGGCTTTTTCTTCTTGGTTTGAGCCAGTAAGGACTCAGAGCATCTCGTAGCTGCTTTGTCTTTAAGAGTGTTGCTGCACAGTGTCAGACATGGAGCAATGTATCCAGGGGTTCCTTACAATAATTGAAAGTAATAAAGCTACATATGGGCAGAGGCATTTGGGACAAAAATAAATACAGATTTTGAACCATATTTGCTCTCTAGTGCAGGGGCAGCGAAGACCAAAAAGTTGTATCAGTGTCAGGAAGCCTGACCCTCTCCTAAACTCCATCTGGGTTTAATTTCGGTGTAAATTCTCTACATTTAGGTATGCAATAAATACGTTTTACTGTAGGGGGAGCAAACAGTCCTGCCACACCGTCTGAAGCCAGCAGACCCACCGCGCCGGTTCACCCGAGTGCCCCAGAGCGGATGGAGACAGCCCCCAGATTATGCTGAGCTGGCAGAAATCTCCAGTCGTCTTCTGCTCTTACAGGGCTGCGATTAACACCCTGCAGGCCAGCGGTTTTTTTCCCTTGAAGGTTTAGAAGCCTTTGAAGTCATGATGGATTTCAGCAGAGTATATCTCAGTTGCTCTGGCACCAAGTTATTTTTTTGAGGCTGTTGGCTGTTTCTCTATTGCTAAATAATAGCTAATCTAAAAAAGGAGATGCTGCTTCACATGCCTGCTGAGCTCACAATGTAAAAACTGTGTGTACCATTATCTCAGGGTCATCCAGCCTGTGTTATTGCAGGCTCTGATAAACAGCACTGTAAACTGGGGCACAGGCATCTCCTACTAGGAGCAAATAGCCCAGCAGTGAGATTTGCTTGGGAGAGTTTTGAGTTATTCTTTTGCTTTCTCCCTCAGAGTGACTGTTGGAAATGTTGGTACAGCTGATATTCCTGAGTTCCCTGAGCTATACTGAGTAAAAAAATCTTGCATTCTAGGGTAATGCAAGTAGGTTGTAAGAGACAGCATGGATTTTTAACTAGTTATTAAGGTTGGGCAACAGAAAGACAACTGAATTGGTCATTAAAGCTGTATAATTAAAAAACTGTGAGCAGCCTGTTCTTTGGAGGGACAGATTGAAGTTGTATTTAAGTAGGTAAGCAGACAGCAACCTGTTTCCTGCTCTGTGCATGATCTAGTAGACAGGCCTCGGAGCTGATCTGTATTTGGCCTTTTCAGTAAATAGACGCGTCTCAAAGTCAGTTTTGTTGCTGCAGGGCAGAGGCGTTTTCAGACAGCATGGAACGCTTGGTACTGGCACCTCACGCTTCCTAGCGACTCCGTGCAGAATCTGCCACGCAGATAGTGCCAGACAAATTCAGCCACGTGAGCGATCCAGGACTTGCCACTGAATTTAGTATGCATTTTTAAATGTGAAAAGTAAAGAGAATTTAGCCAGAATTAGAAGGTAGTAGGAAGTGGAACCCACCTAATACCAAAAGGAAGGCTAGCAGTTTGATTAAAACTGTTCTTTCTTTTTTTTTTTCTTTCAACCTTAGTATTAAGCTAATCTCTGCATGTTGGATTTCAGTAACACTTGTTGGACTTTTTTAACTTTTCATGTTTTATTCATAGTGCTAAATATGGCTCATTATAAATGACTCATCTAATACCATGATCCTGCAATGGGATTGTGTCAGTAATCTGGTTTTTTATCCACAGTGGGGGTTCCTGTGGCTCCAGCAGTCCATCCAGACTGAGCAGAGGGCAGGACAGAGGCTGACATGACAACAGAAATTTATATAAGCCAGTGCATGTATGGGAAAAGGAAGAAAAACTGAATGATGAAGATTGAGATAAACCCACAGCAGTTATTAATGTATAATATCGCCGTGTGGCTTAACAGTAATTTCCTTTAAAGTTTGTATTATCAGCAGTTGTGCAAACTACAAGACTTGGAGGTTTAGTTTTGGCTCCTTGCTCATTTAACCATTAGTCTCTGCTGCCATTGCAAGATAAATTAATTGTGTGAAATGTTGGAGAACAGTGTTGAATCATTTACCCTCTCAATCCTCTCTTATCCTGTATATCGGAAGTGTAATTAAGCTGTAAGCAGACTTCGGATGTGAGCAAGTTTGTTGATAGAAGCTCAAGTTGGATTTGTACTTGTAAGCAATGAATTTTTTAATCTTTTTTGCATTATCCCACTGGAACAAATTTCAACAGGGAAAACATCTTCAATTTTACAAAGCAAAAGCTTAATCCATTGAAGTTCTTTTGGTAAAGTGTTGTGAGACTGACCTGAGGTGGTGGATGACCTTTACACAGACCTGAGGTGACAGTTTCAGATCAGGAAAAATGTCAGTGCATTAAGTCAAGTAAAATCGTAGACGTGTTTATGTTAATGTTCACTCTCCAGGTTATCCTCTTCTTAAAGAGATCTTGCTTTGCTTTCTTATTCACAGTCACTGTCAATGCGTTGGAAGGAAAAGACTGCAAGGAGTCTGTCAAGCTGATTGCAGAAAGCACTAATCTCTCAGAAGAGCAACTTGCTTTCCTCATTTCTGGCATGTATACCCTTCTCCGAGAAGCGCTGCGACTCCCTTTATCAACTTTCAAACAAGAAGTAAGTTCTGGGAGTACTTGGAGTCTTGATAAGTTGAAAGTTGCATCGGATGAGAGTTACCATCTAAACCCTATTTGCCAGGGTGGGGAGCTGCACGGAAAAATGTTGCTCCAAGTTAAAGTGCAAGGAATAAACTTAAAAATCTAGAGTTTATTATTATACATGTTGCATAGCTTTACAGAGAGCTTTTGGGGAGAGTATTTAAGCTTTGGGAAAGAGATTCCTGTATCTTTGTCTGCTTCAGCAGCTTGTTTACTGTGCATGGTTGTTTCCAGTCATATTAAAATCCCAAAATAAACCATTGCAAAGTGTTATTTTATTGGCCTCAGCTCTCTGCCTTACCCTAACTGTGTGTTCACACATACTGCTCATTTTGTCCACACTTACAGTTTCTCATATTTGTTTGCCTGCCTTTTGTCATACTTCTGCCACAGAGGAGGGAAGATCTTATGGCCAGTGGAAATTTGGAGAAAGTGCTATTTCTCTTTGCACTATGGATTTTCTGTGTGAATATGTGTACATCTGCCATGTTCCCAACCCCTGTTCTTTCTTCATGGCTATATTCTTTCCCTTTTCCTGGTACTTTACTTAACACCTTTTCTTTTCTCAGTTTATTTTTATGTGAGCAGACCACTTCTGGGCTTGTGCACCTCTCTCTTGTTTAAGACACCGTTTTCACATTTACCAAGGCATACTGGGAGAGTTCATATATGGCAGGAAACATAGTGGAAACAACGCTTTTACTATTCAGAGTTTATCCTTTGCTTCTTGCTTTCTATTGTCATAGTTCAAACATGTTACTGCAAAACATATTTGACAACGAAGGCACGTACTTTACCCTAGAAGAATAATATGTTGTGGAAAGTTACGTACAAAAAAAACCGTCAGGGATGTTGTGTCCTGCAATAAGGCTTCCAAGAGATTTAGGTCTTTAATTAGTTCCTCACAACTTGATTGAACTCTCAGGGAAATTCTTCTCAATATGTAACCTGTCATTTCACAACCACTGGCACTTGAGGGTAAAACTTTTGGGGAGAGGTACCAGGCAAGGAACCCGCAATTAAATCACTAGGAAAGAAATGATCTTTCAAGACTACATTTTCACCTAATCACTCCTAAATTTTCACCTTCCTTGTCTTTCCAGGTTTTTAAGGAAGACCTAAAGGAGCTCAGGTATGCCTGCTTATGCCTGTTTTTTAAATGTTTGTTTTCTCATAACTTACGTAGTTGCTTCCCCAAATCAAGTTTTTACACAACAACGTTGGTGTAAAAATTACCTGTAAATAACACATAATACATCTGCTGCCAAATGTCATGTGAAGCCAAAGGGGAAAAAACAGGTGTTGTGTAAGACTTGATTTAGCACTGAGCATGAGCAGTAAATTTCACAGGCTGGGGACATTGGTCTAATTTAGTCCGTAATGTAGGTTATGCAAATGTGAGTGACCTTCTCTCTGCTATCTCCACCTTGCCCTGCAATATATTTTATCATGTTTGGTAAGACAGTGGTAACATTTCAGAAGCTAAGAAACTGCCCTACTTTTTTTCTTCTTTGAAAGGCCAATGATACAACACTCATGAAATCCTTCCACCTTCTTCAGCTACAATCTCCCGCTCATAAATCCTTCCACCTTCTTCAGCTACGGTCTCCCCTGCCCATCGCCCAAGAAAGCACAGCGTTTGTAACAGACTTAGCCAAATCCTGTATCAGTCTGTTCCCAGGGCCTCTGAATGGAAGTTCATATCCTAAAAGCTGGACATCATATGCTAATAATCCTTATGGTTTTTCCCTTACTCCCATATTCAGTAGCAATGTGAGAGTAACAGCAGTTGATGTTTTCGTCTAGAGAGAAACCTCTGCACCAAGGCCCAAATATTTTAAAATGCTGATTTCCCATAGTTTTTAGCATTCTGATTGTTACCCAGAAGTAGATAGGTTTCTAATTCTGTCTTTTTTCATCTTTATTTTGCCCATTAACCCACAAATTGGCTTTCTTCTCAGACTTTCCTGCAGAGTCATAAGCATAAGAAGTTACTTCATGAGCAACATCAGGCAGGTTAAAGCTGCGGATTTAGACATGCAGTCAGGGTGTAACTGGGGCCACGATGAAAGGTGCCTTGCTGGTTGATAGAGTCTGCAGCTCAGTGCGGGAGTTTGGCCTGCGTTTTGTCTTGTGAGCCAAAATGCGAGCTGCTTCCTCTGCCACGTCATGGAGTTCACACCCAGGTTAAAGTAGGTCAGTAAGGAACTGATGAATTGCTTTTGACCCAGTGGGAGTTGGTGTTTTTTGAGGTGCACACAGAACGTGTTCAGAGTCATTAAGGAATAACGAAGAGCACCGCAAGCTCCATTCTCCCGGGCAGGTGAATGTTGCTGTACTGAGCAGTGGAGAAGGTGGGTGCCCAGGAGTGCCAGGCACTGGTGGGGCTGGCTGTGTGCGCTGGCTCTGTCTAGACATGCAGGCTCCCAGGCCCCTCTCCTTGTCATTTGACCACACTTGAATGCCTCACACTTTTGTAGTTGTGAAGGGTTTTTCTCACTGTGTGGATTATTCATGGAACTATGAAGACACTTTTCAGTCTGGATGATCTTTTTTTATATCTTTTTGTATCCTGAAAAGTCTTTTTTATTGTGTTGTTCTGGTTAATGTGACTGATGTAGCAGCAGTAGTTCAGGTAACTGCATTTGCGTTGCTTGCAGACTTCTATGTTTTATGTGCAGCTCGTTGCTGCTGCATTCCCATGATTGTCACATTACTGGGACTCTTCCTGACCCCCATCTCTGATAGTCTGTTTCCTGTGAGTAACTCTTCACCTTGTGGCTAAACCTTTAGAAGACTAAACAGCTAATTCCACTCTCAAGCTGTGATACTTAGTAAATCAAGTAGCACCTTTACCATCTTCGATTCCTATGAGAAATGTCATTTCCGATGTTTTCCAGTGCTCTTGGGTTTGGAGATGGAATACCTGCTCATTTTTAAGGCATCTACTAATTACATTCAGACACTTATCCTTCTGCAGTGACTCCAGTGGGTCATCCTGTGATCATGTGCATGAAGAACATGTGTAACTGGCTGAACCACAGTGTCTTGGCATTACTCACACCCAGTGTTTGGGCAGGAATTTTGCATTTCAAGCCAGAAAAATGGCTTATTTCCCTTTTTTGGTTGTGTCTTCTTTTGAAAGGTTAACTGAGCCACATTAGCTTTTTTTTCACCTCTCCTGCATTCTATTTTGTTTCCTTCAGTGACACTGAAGATTGAACTAATTACACCCATATGAAGTCTTTAAATTATCAATTTCCTAGTGATGCAGCTGGTCTTTGCTTCTAATTTTGGCAGAGAGAGAGGCTGGGAGACATGCCCACTTCTCATTGATTAGATCAATACTATTGGTTTCACAGGGTTGCCATTCTATATCCCCTATTTCTTGGCCTGACTGGCTGAGCCAGTGAGAATAAATTCACCCTAAACTGTGGGTGCTGTTTTTCCTTTACCTTGTCAGGTTGTTTAATTCCTTTATGGCTCAGGCCAATAACATGGAATTGAGACATCTTCACACCTTCTTCCTTGCCCTTTGAGTCCTTTCCTCAGAATGTTCCTTTGAGAACTAATTGCTCTCTGTAGCTCAAGCCCGAGCCGTGCCATGTTCTGTGTCTGATCTGCTAGTCTTCTGTGTGACTAGTCTTGGGTAAGCTGCTTGAGCCAGGAGCAGAATTGTCTACAAAACCACTACCTGCACAGCAAAAATAATGAAAGCTCCAAGTTAGCATTAATGCTTCTGTTTCAATAACACTTGCTCTTTACAGTCAAGCAAGTATTGTGATAGGTATCATCATAATCATATTACAACCCCTGTTTCCATCTATTCCACTACGTGCAGCGGATATTCAGTCATGGTCAGGACGGGTTAAGTGATACACTTGCACGGAAAGTATAAGTAATGTTTGCAGAAATCGTCTTGTCTCTTCTGAAAGAAAGACAGACACATGCAGCCAAAAAAGCGCTGTCTGATCCCTCCTCCTCACTTCCCAGTTTTCCTCAGATTACTGCCTGGTAATATGAATTCAGTTTTATGCAAACACCACTGAAAAAAGTGTTTTAACCCCACTTCTTCCATTAAGAATTCAAGCTCCAATAACTGTTGTTTCATCTTCCCACTGTGTGAGTTGATGAGTTGTTTTCTCTCTCATCATTAGACACTGTAAGCCCTTTAGGACAGGTAACTTCCTTGTTTGCTTTGATTTTTCTTTGATACACTGCTGTGAATCTCAGGCCACTGGTGAGTAATGTCTCTGGGCACTGATTCATGTTGAGTGCTGGATTTAACTGTGGCAGCAGCAGCAGTAGTTGCTTCTCTCACTTGTCCAACCTGCCTCTCTGTAGGAGGTTACTGTCCCTGTGGCAAAGGCAGCTGAATGGATAGTGTTTGCTCTGCAGTCTTTGTAATTCACAGCCTCATCTATTGAACTGAAAAATCAGCAGCAGCTTGTTTGTAAGGCAACAACAGTGTCAGGGGAATGGTAAAGTAGTGGAGAGGCATAGGGTGGATGGAATATGAGTTAGTCCATTTGAACCGTTCTTATGGTCCCCATCAGATTTATGCTTGGCCTCCCCATGTTAGATATGCTCATTTTGTAAGTTTTCTTAGCTGCAAGGGGCTCAGTTTTTACTTTTGGGGGAACAATTCTTTATCATCTTTTCATTACTTTTCAGGTGAAAGTGAAATGAAATGTGTAGGTTTGGGGTTTTTGAGAGCACATGCTGCTGGCCTGCCTTCTGCACTTGTTGGAGCCAGCAGTAGAACTTTACTGAGAGAAGTTAAGCAAATACTGGGTTCTTTTGAAACTCACTGTTGTCATACTAGGCAGGACAGGAAGTGTAATACAGTTTTTAGGGTTCTTGATATAAAAACCTAGGCTGTCCTTTTGAGAGCCTAGACTGAATCAATACTGGCTCTTACGTAAGAGCTGGTGGCAGGTTGAAGCAATGTAAGGTAGAAAATGTTGACATGTTTTTTGTGTTCTATAACAGATTTTATTTTTGTAGCTGAGGCCACATATTTGTGGTTACAAAACACTGAACTATCTCGTATTGCTCTTCTCTTTAAGGATACCGGAAGATTTCATCACTGACTTCTGCAGCATAGTCTTTGGTAACAGGTTAGTGTATTCAGGTATCGCGCGTTGTGCAGCCAGCGGGGTTGCACAGAGCTCTGCTGACATACGTTCCAGGCCTGTTGAAGGAACAGCAAAATGACCTAAAGTAATGAAAACAAGATTTGTTCCACTGTTTTGGTTCAACACAGCATGATGTCTGTCCTGCATGGCTACAAATGCAGTAAGTAGCTTTCATGCCAATTTTGAGTTTTTCTGTGATCATCACCCATTGGTTTTTGTAACATTCTAGAGCCTCTAAGGTGCATCATTACCTACAGATGAAATATGCAGTGCAGAATTAAGCATTTTTATCATCATTATCATTGCAAGTTGGAGCAAAAGCGCAAGACTTGCATGGTTGAAAGGCAAGCTACGTATGCCTTTTACGTGTGGTGGTTCGTGGAAGCTTTCTCAGATACCATTTGATCGGGTCTAAACGTACAGCTGAATTGGGAATTCACACTGGGTGACTTGATGGCACGTAGGAGATAGCAAGTGCTCTTCCAGCTGTAATTCACTTTGTAAGCAGTACACCGTAGTATCTCCAGAGGAAGTACTAAATCACAAACTTTTTGAACAGCCTATCTCTTTTGTCCATTCTAGGGATTCCTTTTTTCTGTATGGCTTTGTGCTCAGCCATATGTAGCTTATTCTACATCTGGAAATTGCTTGAACTTTTTGCAGATGCAAAACTTTCCACCTCGAAAGGTGAGGTCACTCAGCATACAGCATCACCAACCCAACACTGCTCCACATATTCTGCATGGAATCCTGATAATCATAGTTGTGGTGTTTCAGTCACCCTCACAAAGTCTGAAGGCTGCTACCAAAGTTAAAAATATTTTTCATTTCCTTGGTTAAGATCTTGGCTTAAAGCTAAAGGTTCTTGGCGTAAAAATAAATTCAGCCTTCTCATCTTTTCTTTGCTCTTCTGTTTGAATTATAGGTGTTAAGAATGCAAAATTCATGGTTGCAAAGTGGAAATATTGTTTGCAGTGGAGAAAGAAGATAAATTTAGATGTCATTTGAAGCATGCATGATTGTCTGTTTTCTCCTGTGAAATCACGATGCTGGAAAATTTAGCTTTTTCTCATTTTGAAAGCTGTGATTATCCAGTGTAATCTTGCTCTGTGTTTTGAGACCAGAGAAGAACACCTCAGATTTGATTTCTAGACAGATCTGCTTTTATAATCTTAAATGTAACACTGAATCATACATATGCTTCTTGAGTTGTAAATACATATGATTGTGATGGTAAAAGAAGGATTCGCATCTGATCAAAAATTCAGTATGAGCTAGATAACCCAGAAAAATCCAATTTTAATACTTTTCCTGGCACCTTATCCCATTTTTGCAATTTTGTTCAGGAAAGAACAGCTCTGAAGTAGTGGAAACTTGACATTTGTATTTCTGTGTCCCCACAGTTCTGTCAAGCGATACAGACTGAAAGAAAAGAAAAACTTGCCATACTGACACCACCACATAACTGCATGAAATTAAAACTTTTTTTTAAGGGAAAGAATAACCCTAACTCCTTGCTCTCTGAATATTTATTATAGATGTTCTGCTTTTTTGTTTTTTGTTTGTTTTTTGGTTTTTTTTTTTTTTTTTAATAGCGCAGCTTTAGTTTCTACCAGGAGGGTGCCATTTGTCAGCATTTCACACACACCAGTTTATTCGGTCTCCCCATTCAGTGGCCTGCTAGGCACGTCGTCTTAGGTGCATTGGGAATGTCCAGAATTTGTCTTTAGTTTTGATATTAGGTCAGCTGCTGCTCCAAATTATCTCAGCTTTCATTTTCAAGTGCTCTTTTGCATCCTTTGGCAGATGATGTCACCAGGTGTATCATCCCTTCCACATACAATTTGGATGGTCTCTAGCTGATCCATGGTGCTTTACTTGTTCTGACTTCTGCTTTCTGCACTGTGTGCTGACAGTATATTGCAGCTGCTGGCAGAGTGTTTACAAAATGTAATTATAGTCTTTAGGTTTTGGATAGAAGATCCATTGAGTCTTTTCTGCTCCGTTTTGCTATTCCTCTTAGAAATCAATGGCTTGATTAATAGCCTTATAATTTCTCTGTGTGTGTTGGCCACTATGTGCATTCTGTCATCCTCACAGGATTCTTGCAGATCCAGTTGTGATCTTGTCCAAGCTGGGAAGGTGCTGACAGAAGTGTAAACTAAGCTGTGAAAGCCACAACTCCTTCTGAGGGAATGGCACTGAAGCACAGTCCTGACCAGAACTAAAGTTTTGTGGTTCGGCCACAGAAATCTTACAGCTTAGCTTCAAAGTTTTGGCATCGCTAACCTTTCCCACCACCGCTCACTAGAACATCTTCCTGCTTTCTCTACTCTTTCTCCCCCCAGAATGCTGCTGCTGCACTGGATGGACTCTCTTCCATTGAGGGGACTTAACGTGTCTTAAGGAAGTGGTAGCAGTGTGGCTATTTTTAGGCATTCCCCAAATTAAGCAGCAGCTCACCACTGAGGGAAAGGCCTGTTCTTATTGTTTAATCCTGCTAATGACCATCCTCGACTCCAGCTCCTCATGGTTGCACCCAGCTGTGGTGACCTACTTCCTATCCAGTAGCTGACAGTAAGAACCAGCTGATCTGCTCATTCCTTTACCATAGAGTTAGGAATGTGTGTCACTTCTGACACCACCCAACCCTCCCGAAAAAGGGTAAGTTCTTTCTTATATTGCTTTTGCTAAATGCAGGAGTATTGGAGGGTCTCAGCCCGTTGGTCCTGTGGACCTTATCAATCTTCCTGGGCAGTTTCTAAAAGCACAGCTACCATGCCCGCAAGAATCGGAGCAGGGATGTTAGACTATCATTCCTACAAGCCTTGATTTGTTCAGAGAGGATTCGTTTCTGATGTAAAGTCTGTAATTAGATTATGTCTAGCACCATGGATAAAGGATGTAACATTTCTTATCCTGCCCTTAGCGGGAGTACCGGAGTAGCTTTGATATGTACTGTAAATAACTTCCAGGGACATGGGATGCTTAGCACACAAAAAAAAGGTGGTAAGTAACACAAAATCCAGACTAGCTCCCAAATGGACCAGTTCAGTGACCTCATTCTGAGGATATTTGTGCATATATATCTAAAAATGGGTGGTTGTTATGCCCTTATATCAGATTTGGCTTGTTTACTTACCCAGAGCTTAAGATGCTGTTAAAATTTTAAAGGTTGTCAACCATCTGAAGTTTAATCGTTGTCAACTGTGTTTCCTTATGGAAATAAACTGAGACTTGATCAGCCAGATTCTTCCTGCACTATGAGGAATAAATGAAGTCCGTGGCTTCTTACACATTAGCCTAGACAAAAATCGGGAGGGTCGTGCTGGGGTAGGCAGTGAAGATTATGTAAGGAATTTAGAGTTTGTAAATTACGTTGGATTAGCAAGAACCACTGTGTGATTTCTGTTTTAAAGTATGGTCCAAAGTACACCCTAACGTTACTGGGTTTTCAAACGTTGCTGCTCGCTCATGCTAGATGTTTGCTGCTGAAGGAGCACAGTGACCTTATTCCAACTTCGTTGGTTAAGTCATCTGTCTCGTTCCTCTTGGATCTGCATGAAGGTGAAGATATATTTGCAGATGCCTTTCTATGCCTCACAGTTACATATAATTGAAATAATATGCCAGCTACCGCAGTGACTCTTACTAAACTTCATAGTGACATCAGTTTACTGGAATTAGTCACTTGATCTCTTTTTTTTTAACATGGACCATAGTTAAGCATAGGAAAAGTGGGCAATCTGAGCAGAGTTTGATTGTTGTTTCCTTTATGAATTTGCATTTCAGTCTCCTGTTTCTGATTTATTCTGTAGGCGTCCTGCTTCCGAAAGCACAGCTCTGACACGAGGAAGTAGGCTACCAAGTATCCAGGACTTGAAGTGGAGAGTGGACGTAGCTATATCCACAAGGTATAAAAGAGAATCCTGTATGACCCTAGAAATTAATTTGCCCAAGGTTAAACTCACTTCTTGTGCTCCTTAAAAATGTTAACAGTGTTAAAATGGATCTTGCTGTTAGGGATTGGCACGTAGCATTGAACAGTCAGGTACGGGGGGGTTGTCTGAACAGTGTGGGAGTCAGTTTGTATCCAGGCTACTGCTGTACATACACGTGGACCTGCCAAAAGGCTGCTGCCTTCACCTTCTACTACTGATACTTTCTAGCTCCTTATTTGTTTTGATCTCTAAAGCCTCTGTACTAGAAACATTTCACTCCAAGTCTGAGTCTCTCTTTCAGTATTTTAAAACTTAATGGAGCTGGTGCAATTCCACAGGTCCTCAGAGATGTTGGAATAAATCAGGTAGATTGAGCCATACGCAGCCAGCCAAGCTCTCAGTTTCACTGGAGCAGGGGAGGGAAATCATCTCTTCAGCTTCTCAAGCAGACTGCCATTTGTACGTTGGACATGTTAAATAAAATGACTTCCCATCACCTGTAGTCTGCTGTGGATTCTACAGAGAGAGGCTTCAGAACAGCACCTTCACACTGCCATAGTTGTGCGATTGCTCAGGGTTCTACCTCCTGGTTTCTTTCAGAGAACAGGACTAAAGGCCTTTGCGATCATCCCGTCCGTGCCTGCAGTGAACAGCTTCTTGCCATCTGCCACAGCAGAGGCAGCAGGGGGATGGATCTTTGGCTAGAGCCAGAAGGAAGCAGAAACCTGTTGTCTGTGCTGTTCCTGGGCTTTGTCTAGTTCTAACCAAGATGGAGCAGGGTGAAAGAAACTGGAAGATGATCCAGTATTTGTCAGTAGCATGGATTGTTAGCATGAGTGACTTCATGTTGCATTCATGAATACCTGCATCTGAGGGAGAGTGCAGTCTCGTTGCTGCCATGGCTGAGAGGCCCGTGGGCAGTCCCGGACAGTCTTCGTGAAATCAAGCAAAAGAGGCTCCCAAGTGGAAATTGCGATGGTGCAAGGCAGTAGTTCGGGTGACTCTGGGACGAGCAGTGCTGTGAGCGCCACACAGGTGTCGCTATGCAGGAAAAATCTGTACCTCTATGAGAGCAAAACGTACAGATAAACACCCTCGGGCACGATGCTTGCAAGCTGCAGGCAAATCCTATGATTTGTTTTCCAAACAATACAGGAGCAATACATTCTCCTTTTCTATTTTCCTTCCTCTTACTTTCCAGTCAACCTTCCCCCTGGGAATTCTTGTTTATCATGCAGCAGCAGCCTCTGCGAAGAGGTATGGCTTCTGGCCGTAACGCCTGTCGGTACCTGAGCGGGTTTTGGCAACAGCAGTTGATGGAAGCTGCAGGAGCATGACTCATTTCCCCTCTTTGGATCATCAAATAAAATAACAACTCACAAATTTAGGATGACGACTGGACTCATTCCCCAAATGAGATGGCAGTTGAACGTATGAAGGGATGGAAAGGATTAATGCGACGTGGTAAAATGACTAAGAAAACTGCATTATTACTAGCAGTACTTTGTCAGCTCTTATCCCTATCATAGTGCCTCTAAACTGATTATTATATAAAATGAAAATGCTCCTAAACTTGCAGTTACTAAACTATTAAAATGGTTAGTCTCAATGCTGAGGTAAATTGGACAGGACTGCAGTGCTCCTGAGTTGCCAACCAGCCAGGTACAGGATTGTGTGGTTGGAATTGCTCATGTTCTGTGTAAAGCCTACATGAACATCTTAAATTGCTAATGTACAGTGCTGTACTCATCACGCTGCTGATGGCTATTGCTGTAATACTAATAATGTAAATAATTGCAGTTCACTGGCCCGTGCTCTTCAACCATCCATTCTAATGATGATGAAGCTTTCAGATGGGACAGCTCATCGCTTTGAAGTAAGTCTGATTGCCATATAAATCAAAAAGAAACCACTTGAAGTACTTTTTAGGAAGTTGAATTACTACTTTAAATATTAAAGCTTTTGTAAACTGTGTTATCATGGGTTGGTTTGCTTTGGAATCTTTCATGTTCAGCGTAGCCGCATACAACGCATAATGAAACACCGACCAAAACCACTTCATACGTGGTTCCTACACACATTTTGATGAATCCCAGTTTGTTAGAAGAATATTAATTACTGAAAAGCAAGAATATTACTGAAAAGCACTGCTGCATAATATCTGCTTTGATTAAAATTACAGATTTGTTATCAACTGTAACATTCAGACCTGATGATGGCTCTTGGGGGCAGGAAAAAAACCCTGGGGTATTTTATATGATGTATGATACACTTCTAAACTCCTGCATTTGATATAGAATGGTAACTTTTTCTTCCATGGCAGAGGCAGGTTTATTCTCGTTTTCTTCAGTACAGTTCTTGCTGCTAGACGGAAAACAAAAACCCTCTTTGCTGTTTACCTCAGAATTAGTCAGTGGCAGTATTTATGACACTGTACGTAAAGGCTTGCCAGAAGATGGCATAAACTCGTCCATGTTTTTAACCTTTGAAAAGGAATGCTGTTTGTTCTATAAATACCGTGGTGGTGCGTACAGGAATCCAGTGCACAGCAGGCATTGTTGCATTTGAACTCTGTAAAGATTGTGGCTTTGGTTCCTGTGTTAGTAGCAGTCTGGAGGAAGCACCAAAGCGCTGTGGGTTGCAAGAGGTGAGCTGATTTTACTGTTACAATGCTTCTCAAGAGGGCAGCTATCGGGGAAGGCACAGATTCTGTGCTGCATTGCAAAGTGTTGAGGGTGTCACTTCACAGAAGATCAAATTCACCCCGCTGTGGACAGCCCAGCTCAGAGCATCCCGTACGCTCTATTTGAGGTCTTTCATGGAACTTAAACGATGCCATGGACTTCAGGTTAACCCTTTGCAATAGGTTAAGTTTCACTTTTGAGAATAAAAGCTAGTATATATTCTTTACTATTCAAATTTGGGCCTTTATTGCCTGGTATAGAACGTCAAGTCTTGGTTGGTGGCATTGTTCCTGGCTGGTTTGGTTCGGTTTTAGTTTTTTTTGTTGTAAGTCTGTGGAAGACCCTTCGCTGTTCTGCAGTGGAGATGTTGGTGTACCTGTCCAGTATGCACAGAAGTGCAGATATCTGATAGCAAACAATGTGCTTCTCTTAGAATCAGCTCTTTGCTGCTGCTTAGGTGTGAATGCCAAAGGTCAGGCTGCAAACAAGGTTTCTGTACCCATCTTCCCACAGTTAGGAGCTATTTGGGATAAACCTGTGTTTTGGTTTAGGGTACCATGTGAAAGCAAGTATAGTCCTCACCTCTACAGTTTCCCTTCAGACACGTTCAGAGTGTCCTGATAACTAGCAGGGCTTATGTAAGATGGCAAGTCCAGAAGATAATTCTGTTATGAACGGGTTTAAAACGTGTCTGTATGTCACAGGGAGAAGTTCCACTCTTTGGTCTCTTGGGTTTGGTTTTTTTACAATGAATGTTTTTTTTGAAAAGCAGTGGGAATTGCAGCGTTTTGAGTCTAGTTGTATATATGTCAAAAGCGAAAAGGGCGTGATGCAGTTACATGCATTTCTGATGCATATGGAAAATGCAAATCAGATGTTGGGTTCTTCTCACATAACTGATACCTGTGCCACAGCAGGCAGAAGGATGACAAGGGACTCTGTCAAAAGAACCACGTGTCTCCGATGTAGTCAAAGAAGTAGAGTGAACTAGGCAGCGCTCTGCAGAGCAGCCTGGGACCAGCTAGCCTGCTGCAGGTAGTCAGGCAAGGACGCGCATGTGCACTGCACCAGTGTTACCTGTGTCACCCAGCCTGCGCCTGTGCTCAGGTGTGCTTCTTTGCCTTAACTGATAATGGACTTCCCTCCGTTGGCTTCTCAGGCTCAAAGTGATAAAGGGGAGTCCATGAGTCCCCTGCACAGTTGAGAAAGTTTTGTGTATTTAATCAAAATCTTTTGCCTTCCATGTATAGACAATGCCCAGTCCTCTTTGCTCTTGGGGTTGCTGCCAGGTCTCTTGCTTTGAGGTGCAATTCCTTTCTCCTCCAAGTCTGGAAAAGCAGACTATCTGGAATTTGTTGCTAGGGAATTCTGTAGGCTCCACAACCTTCCAGCTGTCTCTGTCTTTCCTTCCAATCCAGGACTGTCTCACTTCACCACAGCAGCCATCAGTTTACATCCTGGACTACTGCCTTTCTCACATCAGGCAGTATAGAAAATGTGCTGTGTAACTATTATTTCTGTTTTTTTCCCACTCTCCTTTTTCACACAGGTGATTTACTTGAATTAATTGAATTTTATTAACCTCAAATTCTTTGTCTTAAGTCTAAGAAAAAAACCCAAAATTTATTTTAAGAGCAATTGGGCTGACAGTGGGGCACGCTCTAGTCAGAGTTCCTAAGATGTTTTTGTTTTCTAACCTGAATATTCTGTTTCAGGTGCCAGTTGCAAAGTTTCAAGAACTGAGATACAACGTTGCCCTTATACTGAAGGAAATGAATGATTTGGAGAAAAGGAGTGTCCTGAAGATCCAGGACTGAATGCTCTGAAATCAGGAGTTTATGAAACAGGTCTGAAACCCTCAGCAAAGCAGGGGGACCATCACCACTTTGCCTGACTGAACTGCAATGTAGCATTTAGCATTTATTTTATGCTGTAAATATTTTTTCAATTCAAGTGTTAAAAAGCACAAGCCCTTTTCATAAGACTTAAGAAAAACAAAAAATATATCTGTGAAAAAGAATAATGCTGTTTGCGAGCATTTTTGCATGATTCATCAAAACATTTTTTAAGAACTGTCTTAATAGATGTAAGTCATTTATTTCTGATTATGATTCATAACTCTAATTATTTTTGAAAGCCTGCTACCAGAAGCCCCATCAGTGTGTATCATAAGAAAGCTCTGCAATATCTCAAATAAAAGACAAAATTAAAAAAACCCCACTCCTGGACTCTAGTACAACAAATGAGATCTTGAGTTTTGAGATCTTCAGTAAAATTGCTGTCGGGCTTCTCACTGAGGGATGGAGGTATAGCTACAGCTACTCGAAGGCTGATCTTGAAGAAAATCAGAAGTCTGTGGATCAAGAAAGAAGTATCGACTGAGCCGCCAGAACTCATTCCATGGAATTGCAGAAGTGGAAGGGTTCAATCTGAGTCTTTATCTGGCTGAACAGAATGGGCTGACTAGCAGTAATCTCACAGGTTTCTAGCTGGAAATGCCTGCCTCTTGTTTCATGTATTTCCTGTATGTTCGATGTGAACGGAATCACTGGACTTATTCCTGGGCAGAAACCTTGTAGACACTAAAACTGTGTAGTCGTTAGTAGTGCAGGTCTGACCCCTCTGCGATGACAGGCACAGGTATGAGGATACCCAAGCCCTCAGGTCAAGAAAGCAGTTAAGAACTTCCCCGAATTGGTCAAGCAGTTGGACTTAAATGAGCATTGCAGGTCCCTTCCAACTGAAATAGAATATTTCAAGTCCCTAAGGGTTTTGCCAAGAAGGGATGTGACGTGCAGAAACAAACCCTACAACTCACGGAGAGTTACAAAGCAGGTGTGTTTATCACAGCGCCGGGTGCAAGGGGGATAGCTCCACCTCACTTGCACACTTTAATGCTTAAGTAGATTCTTTATATAATCAAAAGTGTTCCATATACATGACTCTTGGTTACATATTCATTATATTTCCGAGAATAGGGTAGGTTTATTATAATTAGTTCTAAGAAATCATTAGCATATGTCACACCCTGGAGTCCTCCTCTTTGCATCTGCGTAGTTTACTCTGGTGGTCACTTTAGGTGGTTGTTGGGATGAAGGCTGCAGGTCTTCCTCACAGTGCACTTTTCACCCCCTGCCGTTCTTGTTGCCAAGTCTTTGTTTCCTACGCATGTGGTCAGGCGAAACTGGGCTTTTACTGGATCAGTGATTCGTACAAGACGAATGGTTTGTATAGGACGCGATTAAAATCACAGGGAGTGTTACAGGACAGCTGGGACAGAGCGTAATGGTTACAGAACAAAGCAAAAGTAATTATAGTAATACAAGAGCAGAACCTAACTAACATTGGTGGTTAACCCGTGCCTCGGCATGGCTTTAAAGCTACAAAGTTAAACTAATGTTATAACCAATTCGAACTAAACGCCAGTTTCCCATATCAGATGCATTCCTTAGTCATTGCCTGAAGGAGTTTTCCCCAGCAGCAAAGATAAGGAGGCTGTGAGCAACAGCTCAGAGACCCCTGTAACTGTAGGATTTATCTGGCTGTCAAAGGTAGTTTAGAAAGCACATGCTGCTAGCACTGTTAAGCACTGGCTTCTAGCTGCTCTCTGGGTTTCCTCCTCAGGAGTACCACCCGTACTTCTACAATCACAAAAATGAGAGAGAACGTGGCCTTTATCTCCCTCACTCCCCGCAGAGAACTACCAAAATTAAAATCATGGATTCAGGAGGCCTTTTACACTCCCACAGATGTTCGTGTAGGAAAGGATGACTTGGCTCTTGGATCTGAAGAATCACAACATGCATAAAAAGACTTTGTTGTCATACTTTTTAAGGAGACTGACAGCAGTCCGTACCAGTCTAAAGACAGCTAAATAGCTGTGGCGCAGAAAGCTTTTAAAACCTGCGCCAGAGTGTGTCCTGTAGTTTCAAATAAACCTATCAGCCGTGATTTCAGACGGTTCAAAAGCCGCACATTCCATTTGCTGTCTTGGTAGGCTACTTGTCAGTAACTTCCAGGTTTGATCCATACTGCATCTTGCCTCCTGTGTTCACGTCACACCAAAGCATAGAAAGAGGAAGTAGCTCCTGTAACTTTGAGTGGTCTGTAGGTTGCATTAACATGATGTTTTCTTTTTGCTTTTACTTTGTGAAGCTTGTTCATCTTCTTTCTGGAATTACATCCTCACAAGCTGTGAAACAAAACATTCTTACGTGCCTTGTTACGGCCTTTCCCTCCTGAATGTTTAGGTTTACATGGTTTTGAACTAGAAAGGAATCTCAGCTGAGGCCGTAAGTGAAGTCTTTTCAGACAAACAGAACACTGCATGGGTGTAAAATGACCTGCTGTTTAAGAGATTTGCAGAGTGGTTTTGTACTGCCCAGAACAGAAGAATCCATAAGCACCTTTACCATCTAGACAGAATATTTTGGTTCACTTGTTCTAACAGCAGTTGCCCATGTTCTCCAGAAATGGGAAGGCTTCCCGTTTTCTTCATGCTCTCTGCAAGGAGTGATGGGCCTCTTAGGCTCAAGTTTGCCTTGCCACACGTTAAGCAAGAGTTGACTGGAACGGGGTTTACCGTGCACGCTGCGGGGTACTTAAACACTTGGGATTTTCATTCCTCTCTACTGTAAAGAAGAGTTCAGTTGGGCTTTCCTTCTGACAGATGAGCTTTCTGCTTATCCAGCAGTTGTCATGAAAAGGGCTAGCAGATAGTTCCTCAGTTCTGATAAAATATGAGCTTTCAAATTATCGTTAGGTTTCTCGGAACTTCATGGTGAATTACATGTTAAATATTTGCTCAGCACTGAAATATTTCAGAATTGAAGTCCTGTAGAATTTGAATTCCGCTGGATTTCTGACTGTAGCCCCTTCATTCCAGTACAGAACAAAAGTAACCTTATAGGACCTGGGTATGTCTGAACAGAAATTATTGTACCCAACTCTGGGCATGGTTACGTTTCAAGGGACACCGTGAGTCCCCCTGTATCACCCCGTGAAAGAGAACTTGAACTCACTTTGTTGGTCCCGAGGCCTTGTCAAGCTGATGACTAGTCAGTCATCAATTAGGTTTGCATGGGAAGGGCACTGGGGTTTTTTTCTTATTACACACATTCATGGCCCAAAAGGTAACAAGAACCTTTCAGAGGTTCTGTTGGTAGTTTTCCCTGAAAAACAAACCCCGCGATCCCGTCGCTCTCTCGGTGTGACGGTGCCATGCATTGATTTAAACTGCCTAATGTATTTGTGAACGTCTTAATTCTAGTGATTTCCTAACTGGCATTTGAGCATAAATTTCCCCATTACACCTTTTCTTTCATTTCCTTTATAGTATATGGAACAGTATGTCTTTTCTTTCAAGACTGATGTGTCAAAACATTATTTAAAATAGAACTGGATTGTTTTTCCATGTAAATCGTGTGTGTGATAGCAGAGATGCCAAGTGCACACAGGGTTGGTCACAGCAGGCAGAATGCATAAGGGGAGTTAGAGAGCTGCCAGAAGTTGTTCAGAGATTCAGTGGCAAAACCACGCAGAACTCACGACTTCCCTCCCTGCTCTCTAACGTAACATAGCGCCGCTTCCTGACAGTCAGACCTCCCTCCGTTTTTTCTTCAAGTGGCTCAACTCCGTGGGCCACCCATCTGGATCTGCTCTTGCCCATGGACTATTGGAGCGTGTGCAGAGCACCTGAAAATAAAAAGCCATCTGTGGCTGTATTGTGATGTGACTCTTCAGATCCCCACTTCCCGTAGAGAAGGAGCTTTGTCAGCATGACTAGTAGGTCAGAATTTCACACCTGGGTTAGTTGTGTTTGAGAGGGGAAAGGAACAGTTTTGTTGGCTGTTTCTGTGGTACATGTGATGCAGATCACAGCTCCAGAAGAAGGCTGAAGGATGTAGTCATGCTGTCATGCTGCCTGTTACGCCAGCCATTAACTGCTGGAAGGAGATCAGTATTGTGCTCATTGGCATTAAAAGGAAGAAATTAAACCTGCCTTTGTAGAAAAGCCATACAAGGGAGATGTGTTTTGCAGCGTGAGTCACCTCCCAGCTTTAACTTCGTCTGCTTAAATGAAGGATAAATCCATTCTTCATCCATGAACAATGCAGGTAGGTAGGGGGTTGGGTTTGGGGTTTTTTGCCTTTTCTGGGTTTTTTTTTCTTTCTAATCAAGTACACTTCGTGGCCCACTGCTGCTCCAAATCCATGAATATATGTATGAATGTATGAAAACTCTGTGCTTTCAGGATGTGTTACATAAAAACACCCCAGCATATCTAGACTGAGCAAGTACATTCGATTTGCACAGCTGTTTTTGCTAAAACAGCCTTTGCTGAGCCAGGCCTGATGTCAGAATCAAATATGTCGTAGTTGTTTGACTTCTAGTGAACAGTAAATTAGTATCTTGGCTTTAAAATATTTTGCCATTAGTGGCTGTACAGCTCATTCTGTACCTGTCACACCCCACAAAGCACCAACGTTTACCAAACGCCGCACATACCAGGAACTAGCAGAGGCAGAGCCAGCCGGTTTCTCCCCTACGGAGTCGCAGGGTTGTTGCCCATAGGCCATCCACGATAAGGCTTTAACTGTTCTCTGGCTCTGGGTAAAAGGGCTGTGTCCTGAACCCTCGCAAGCACACGGCTTCCACCGCGGCAGCAGTTCGTAAGCACAGCTGCCCTTTTCAAACAGGCATCCTTACGTCTCTTACATCCCTGCTGGTGTAAGAGCATTCCCAGAAGGACATTTCACAGTGCTTTTTTGAGACTCGTGTCAGTCCCGAGTGACCAGACTCTCATCTAGCCCTGCAGATGCTCTCATACATTGTAAATAGAAACTGTGGAAGCTCTTTTCAGACCACAAACGCTGATTACATTTTCTGTGATAGTCTATTTCCCTTCCCTGTCTTGAATTCACGTGCTCCTAGAAACCCCCCGTTTACACCATGACTTATCCCTTTAAGTGTCTGCTGTGTGACTATGTAAATACTGGTGGCGTAGCCCAGATAGAGATTGCCGTTGCATTGCTACTGGTAACCAGTGGTTATGTCACTTTCCCTCGCTTGAATAGGCTTTGACTCATAGTGGTTTTCAGGACAATGGTTATAAAATAACACACTGAGGGGCTGCTGAGACTATAGTGGTGCAACAGAGACAACTCTC